GAGTGTGCTCATGGCTGGCTGCTGAGCAGACCTCTGTCGGGCCGAAAGAAAATCTTTTAGATAAACAATTAATAAACATAAAGACCGAAAGAAGAACTGAAGCCTCTTCTCGTCCTTTGATACGCGGGCTGCCCCAAGGCCACTCCGGGCCTTTCCAGGCCCTTCAAACAGCCGAAAACCGGACAAGAAGGTCTTCTTCAGATACCTCTATAACAAGAGGAATTCTAAGGAAAATGTGTGTCCTCTGCTGAAAGGAACAGGGACCCTTGAAACACAGGTTGCAGAGAAGGCTGAGATACTACATGTCTTTTTTGTTTCAGTCTTCACTGCCAGGCAAATCCTCAGGAACCTCTGACCCAGTGGACCAGAGAGGAAGTCTGGTCCCTTCCATCCTTATCTGTTCCATGATTCTGCTGAACTTCTGGCATTTGCTCAGGCAGGATAAGCTGTTCTGTCCCAAAAGATCATTCCAGGTGACACTATAAGATATGCTCCATAGCTGGCAAATGGCCAGGGGACATCTCTGGTAGTCACGTCCTCTGGTAGTCATGTCCTCCTTATAGGAGATGTACTCTTGAAAAGAAAATCTAATTATATGTTAAAAACACCAGCTGGGTCTTTTGGCCTAGCAAAATTATCTTTTTGGCTGCATACTGATTTTCTATTGGAAGGCACAAGAGCAAGGAAAAGAGAAAAGACAATTCTGTGAGGATCAGTGTGAGAAGAAGCTGATGCATGGACTAACCTGCAATCACTATCTTTGAGAAGACACTGTAATTTACATAGAATGTACTTGTCAGGCTGCTCTCAATACTATGGACACCATCTGTAACACTTAAGGTCCATATCACAGACAACTCTCTGAAGACAACACAGTTGTCTTTTCTCAATATTTTTTTCTCTCAGAATTCCTGTATTAGTATATGTCAGATTTCCAGGACTGTACTTCTCCACACAGAGGAAAGAGGACATGGTAACATACAATTTGAGTGCTATTGAAAAGGAGATTTGTGAAACCTGCATTGGCTTTTGTTGGAACATTGACCTCTCTCTAATGGGGTCATTGCATGCTTCGAGTTGTTCAGGTTCCTCCTCATCTGTCATTAAACCCAGTTCATGAGCTCTGAACCTCCTGAATTTGTGAAGCCAAGGCTGCAAATCCCAGGAGAATGGGCACTGCTAGTTTCCAAGCCAGCAGAGACTGCTGAGGAATTGCAGTTTTTGTGGTGCAGGTTAAACATGCATTCATCAGGAGCTTTGAGATCACGAACTGATAATGATAAGAAATCACCTACATGATCATGTGAAGTGACAGAAACCCCTTTCTCTTCCTTTCTTCCCCTTCCCATACAATGTACATGTCTTTATTTGAAACTGAAAATATAGCAGGTACATGAGAAGGAGGATTCATCTTTTCTGAACATCACCACAACCATGAACACCTGCCAGCCTCTTATATGAAAAAAAGTTTTGGCCAGAATGGGAAACTATCCTCAAGCATGCTATTTTTAATGAAGACATCAGGAGTGGTATGCCATGCCTGTGCAGAAAAAGCCATATTATTATCTGAGCCCTTTGCAGCCAGCCAGATTTGGGAAGAAGAATGTATCAGCACAGGAGGGACTCTGCAGCAGCTCCATGCCTGTTCTGTTGCATGGTCCATAATGTGCACACCTAACCAGGTAGTGTTAGCATTTGGGCAGTGGGCATGCAAGGGAGGTAGTGTCACCCTTTCAGTCTCTCCCATATGCACAGATGTCTATTAGCTCTGCCTCTGTTTAAAAAAAGAAGGCTGAATAAATGCAGAAACAAACAAATTGCTGCTGAAGAGAAACATGGAGAGACTTCAGACGTAAAACATCTGAAGAATTACTCCCTCAGGAGAAGAAAACTTGTGATGACGCACTACTCAAGACTCCAGTCCAGGCTGTTTTTTAAGGCTTTTGAATTCCTTTCTCCCTTCCTGACCTTTTATGAACAGATCAGGGCCTTCTTTGCAAGTGTCATGGGACGATGTGTGTGTCCTCCTTGGCTATCTGCTTGCAGCTTCTAACAGCAGGCTTCTCACACTTGTGCTAAGTGGGATTTAATGATATGTCAACAAGGGTGCCTGATTAAAGGAGAAGATAACCCATTAAGTGGTGTTCTTTCAGAACAGATAACCTGCAATTTGAAAGCAATATGCTGTTTTAAAAACAGGGTCGCTTGTTTACAATTCATGTCAGGTTAATA